TGATAGGCTAGGGTTAGAGGGAAGGGGAGGAGGACCTCCCCTATCAGTGGACTGGGGGAGGGGCATGGGAGCAGGTGTGGGAGTGAGGGAGGGACTTACAGCTGGGATACAGAGAGACTTACAGCTGGGATACAAAGTAAATAAATTGTAATAAATAAAAAATTATATTAAAAAAAGAATGCAAGTTGATCTGAGTTCAGTTATAGGCAGCTTACAGGCATCTGTAACCCAAGCTCCAGGGGATCTGATACCCTCCTCTGACCTCCCAGGCATCTGCACCCATACATTCACATAGACACACACACACACACACACACACACACACACTTGGATATAAGTTACAAAAAAATCTTTTTAATCAAAGGGTAATGACTAGCAATATTCTAATAAACCAATCGTCATTAGAGAGTTTTTGAAGAAATCTCACACGGGAGGAGCCTGACCTGCCAATGAACTGCATCCATGGAGCGCTGTGCCTGACCCTGTGAACTGCAGCTCTATTCCTCAAGAACCAAGCTTCTCACTAAGGCTGACCTTACACACAGCAAAACTGCCCTTGTGTGTTTCCTCCTTATTTGCATGGCTCTTCGTTACAAGGCAGAGATTACAAAAAAATGTGTGCACGGTGACTCATGTTAACTTCCCATAAAGTATAAATAGACAGTCAAGTATAAACTTGCTCCACAGTCATATGGTATGAATGATGTGCCATGAAACTACACATAAAGATGCTCATCCACATTCTTCTTTAGAGCGGAGCCCTGTTCTGCAGACAGTATTCTAGTTACTCCACACATTCACCCTTGCCCCCTTGCAGATCACTCAATAATATTCTTTGTGTGTGTTCCCAAGTGTGAATTCATTCACTGCCAATTCTTTCCTCACTAGCATTCACACACACACACACACAGAGAGAGAGAGAGAGAGAGAGAGAGAGAGAGAGAGAGAGAGAATGAATATGGAGATTATATCATTGAATGCGGATACAGAAATGTTTTCTCCAATCCCATAACCCACATAAATGCCAGCTAGGCACAGAGGCCTTGCATGTAATCCCAGCTTCAGGGGGAAGAGACAGGAGATTCCAAGGGCAAGAGGACTAGTGGGACTAGCTGAAACTGTTAGCACTGGCTTTCGCCGAGAGACCCTGCTTCAGTCAACAAGACGGGAGAGCAATGGAGCATGACCCCTGACGTCAGCCCTGGTCCTCCACAAGCGCGCACATCTGTGGCCCTATACACCTTGAAGGTGTACACACATATCACACACACACGAAATTTTAAAATGAGAAATGTTTTTTCTCTCTTCCATGGATTCATACTTTATTTTCATAACTTTTTCCACTGAAAGAATTCTAGAAGGAACAATCCCCAAAAGAATAATTAAATCTAGGTCCCGGCTTTTGGGTTGACTTTTTTTTTACTTCGTTTTTTAAAATTCTTTATTAATTACACTTTATTCACTTTGTATTCCCCCTGTATTTCCCTTCCTCCTCCCCTCCCAAACCCCTCTCTTCCTCCCCCTTCTCCACGCAAGCCCCTCCCCAAGTCCACTGATAGGGAAGGTCTTCTTTTCCTTCCTTCTGATCCTAGTCTATCAGGGCTCATCAGGAGTGGCTGCGTTGTCTTCCTCTGTGGCCTGGTAAGGCTGCTCCCCTCTCGGGGGGGGGGGTGATTAAAGAGCAGGCCAATCAGATTATGTCAGAGGCAGTCCCTGTTCCTATTACTATGGAGCCCAAGTGGACACTGACGTGCCATGGGCTACACCTGTGCAGGGGTCCTAGGTTAAATCCATATATGGTTGGGTTGACATTTTATTTCACACTGAAAATTTGCAATTTTGAATAAATCGGTGATATCAGAGAAATCTATCAGAGCTGTAATATCTTGCAACAGAAAGAAAGAAATTGATTTATAAAGATGTGGAAATGACGAATAACACTTTGTGTGTTGCTACAGTGTGGCATACCAGCACACATCTGTCAAATCAGCACAATAGACAAGACCAAGAATGAATCCTAACTGTAATTGTGGGCCTTTCCGTGATAATATAAGCATGTAAGCTCGATGCTCATGACAAGCATACTACCCCATTGATGAATGTTAAAAAATGGGAGCGTGTAGTGGCCCAGCAAGATGGCTCAGCAGACAAAAGGCCTGCTGCCAAGCCCAGTGAACTGAGTTCGTTCCCAAAACCCAAAGGGGGAACGAAGGAACAAAATCATGAAAGTTATCCTCTTCCCTCCACGCGCACACGCGCACACGCGCACACGATTGCATGTGCATGCCCACATACATACACAAACAAAATAAGTGAATCTCTGAAATGTATTCTAAAAAGAATGGGAGGTTGTGCACATGAGGGCAGAAAAGTATGAGATCCTGTGTGTGTTCGGCTGAAATCAGCTGTGAGCCTATCACTTCTCTAAAACGTGTAAGCTACGCTTTGAATGAAACCCTGAAAGCAGGACACTTTTCCCTCTCCTACAGGGTCAATAGCTCAGAGTTGGAATTAGAAAGCCACCATTTTTCAACTATCACAGCAACGGTTTCCTCAAAAGCCGTGCGTGATGGGAAAATGTGTAGGTGAAAAACTGTGAAGAGAAGCAGGGTGTGTGCTTCAGACCAGGGCTTTCTCCACATATTTCAAATCGACTGCACGGAAACCAATGCGTGACTGTAACTCAAACGCTCGCTGAGAGGACCTGCACCCTGTGGCCAGTGACTGTCACCATTGTGGGCTGCTCCTGACCACTGCGTGTGCAGACACAAATCTCCAGGCACAGTTTCTGACTCAGGGGATCTAGATGAGGCTGAGATGGAACTTGTTCTGTGGCACAAGATCCAGAGACCACCAATGACCTCCAAGCCTGAAGTACATGCTTACAGCTGCCCTTCAGGCTTTGAACACAGTAAAAATCCTGTGATTCTAGAAAGTTCCTCTGCCTGCTGTATACACTGTCTGCATCTGTGTGTTAGGTTGGGCTTGGAGGAGTTGGAATTGTTTGTTTGCAATTTGGAAACATATTCATCTACCTGAAAAGCCTCCTGAATATTTCCGGAACAACCCCCGACTCTGAGGTTCCCCATTGTTAAACATGAAGCATCCTTGTTACCTTTATGAGACTCTTTCACTTTGGAATTCTGAGAGTTTATCATCAGCTGAAGGAAATCCACTCTTTGCTGAAAGAAAATAATTTTGAAAGATGCAAGGTCAGTTGAGAGGTCAAAGTGAGTCACAAGTTCAGAACCACCCACTGTTCTGAGGAAGTCCGGAAGTCTGGCTGCAGTGCCCAATTCAGCAAAAAACAACAATATCCATAGGCACACTTTGGAGAGTGAACACATCGCTAAGTGAACACTGGATGTGTGTCCAGTGGCTTTGGTCTTTTTCCCGTCTCTGAGCCTGAGTTCTCTGGCTTCTGAACAGTCCTGGTCAGCCCCTTTCCTTCGCATGTGCGCTTACATAGGGAAAAGTTCTGGCTTTCAATCTTGTTTCCTCCTATCTTAGTCCCAAACCATTGTCCTTACAGATGAAACTTGTGCCATTTCCAGACCCCATCAGTAGTTTGGGCGTGAATATCTTTAAGTGCCCACCAAGCTAGAATGCTTTGATTCTCGGAGATAGTAGGGGTACCTGGTCCTGATGCCCTTTCTTGCTCCCTAGTCTATTTATATGCAGAAAAGCCTGACTACCCAGAGAAGCACTGTGCTACTCCAGGCTAGATGGGGCTCAAATTTAATTCAGACCAGCCAGATTACAGCACATGCCTGTAATCACAGCTCTAGACGCAGAATGATGGAGAGAGCCATGCCTGGGTCTCAAAACAATAAAAATTAAAAATAAAGCAGACTAAACTGGGCCGGGTAGGATAACATGACTCTTTTTAATGTGGAAAGTGATAAGCTTGGACATGAAGAGACTTCTTGCCAATATGAGCTCTGGGGAACTAAAATACCTGAACATAAATGTTTATGGAGAGTCATTGTCCTTTTGGGAAAGGGATGTGGTAACTTTTGTCTATTTTTCAAACTTACATCAACTGAGGCACTTAAAAAATTGTGCATGGCAGCTGAATAAAATAAAATTTTGATACATGCATATATGGAAATTTGCTTAAATCTGATTAAACACATTTTTCTCAATATCTATCACTCATTTGTCATGATAGCTTGCAACGTCCTTTCCTCTCGCAGCTTCTGGAAGTTTTTACATGGCTTCAATGAATATGGGCATACAGAGGTCTCTCACATGAGCTGGTGTCATTGTCTGACCAGCAAGAAGATGGATAGATCACATGGAGGTTGTACTTTAACTTTTGCTCGTCTTTTTTCTGTGATGTGAACTAAGACCACAAAAGACTCAATCTTTGAAGAGATGAGCTATTAATAAAGGTTGTTCCCTTCAAATCTCCTGATCCAACATCAGTCATAAACCCTGTTCTCAATGTGCAAATCTCAGATAGGATTGAGCTGGACACCCAGGGCAACTTGGACCGTTGCTCAAGGATGACATGTTTGCTGACCATGTGTAAAGGCCTGAGTTTTATATCAGCACTGAGAAAATAACAGACTGCAATATTTTTAATATATATCCACAGAGTGTTTCTTAATTTCCTTAATTTACATCCCCACAAATTGTATGCAAGGAATCTCTTTTTTTCTGGAGTGTGGTGAAGTTCTTGTCTTAAACTATTTTTATTCACTAATTAAAACTACTAATATTTAATCTGATTGCCAGGTATATTATTTGATTTTAAATTCTTTCTCTGGCTCATTTTACTTCTCTATTTGCAACCACTACACTCTTTATTCTCTCCAAAATATCAAAATTACCTGCCCTTAACATACGCTCCCGCATCGAACTTTTAAAGATGCACAGAATATATATATATATATATATATATATATATATATATATATATATATATATATATATATATAT